CATACGTGTCCATTCCGAATGGACATAAATTCCAATCCGACATATGTCCATTCCGAATGGACATAAATTCCCATCCGGCATATGTCCATTCCGAATGGACATAAATTCCCATCCGACATATGTCCATTCCGAATGGACATAAATTCCAAACCGACATACAACATATCAGTGCAGTGGACTCACATACTCTTCGGTGTCATCATCGTGCATGTTGAACTGTCGCAATTATGTCTTAATGAATCGTTAAACAAAATAGTAAACCATCAATGACGATCTTCTTGTAAGTAACATGACATGGCATACTACAGTACTAATGTTTACGATACACAAGATGACGAAATGTGTTGGACAACCTCTTCTATACATTTTTGTTTAATCACGTGAATCCGGAGAGTCATTTGCTAGTCCGCTTAACGAAAATTTATATATGTCGTCCGACTTATCGAGGAATTTAAATATAAAAAAGGGGAAAGTTTTGTCCGGCTTAAGCCAAATCCGACTTATCGAGTGTCCGACTTATCGAGTGTCGGACTTATTGAGTTTGCCTCAAATTGCTTGGCAGTATGTATCACTTCTTGATCGTACGACGCTTACACAAGCAAATGACACAATGCAGATGCTAATCGGCTAAAAAATTCATTGTCTTACGTAATTTGATTCAAATTAGTCATATAAAAAGGAGCTTTGATTCCGGTTGAATTACTTTTTCTTGGTAGCTCCTCTACCGATTGTTTTTCTAACTGAAGAAATCCCTTTTGTTTGAATTGACATCATTCTTGTATCTTTATGTCGGGCATATTTAGATTCAATATCCGTAACAGTGAACCATCGCTTGTTAGCAATCTAAAGAGAATCACTACCATCTTCTTTTTGGTCGGTCTGCTTGCTTATCTGGGTTGGCTTTGCTATTCTTTATCTCGTTATGAAACGACGCTTATTTACTCCAGAAACAAGATTAAAGGATTGCCATCACCAAGTAAGTGTTACGAAAGTAAATATATATACAATTCCACAAATTGCTAATATTATTACAGTTATTATCTTTAGTTCCGTTTATAACTTTAGTGCTTCATGTTACTTGGTACAATATGGTAGGTAATAACATAAAAAATTTAAACATGTTTATTAATTATTTGGTTGTATTAACAATTTGATGTTCTTTATAGATGGACATGTTTCACCGTCCAAATGTCAATCTTACCTGGGTTCATCTAGTTTTGATCTCACAACGAAATCATACATAATAAATTTTGTTGCCCAAGACTTTATGTTCCCAGATCCAGCGAGTCACCATTATGAAAAAAGCGTAATTCGACGGATAACTTTTGATTTTGCTATAATTGATCCGGTTTATCCACTTGGTGGGGATGCTCGGATGTCTGCAATCTTATTTGATGCAGGTGAGTGCGTTTTTTGTGTAAATACCTATTTAATTGTATCAAAGATACTCATATAAAAACAGAATCGAAAGCTGTTTCGGCAAACAGTCCGAATTATTCAGAAACCGAAGTCAATTCTACAGTCTATTCTAACATTTACACACTTGGGAAGGGTCAGGTAAAAGCAATTTGTAAATATTACAGTGTTAGTATACATAATAAAAACCACTTACTATTTTTTGGTTTACATGTTTTAAATATTTCCGTTTAGCACAACGTTTTCAAGATTGAGCGCACTATCCGCAAGTTTATAATTCCAAGTGCGGGAAACGTTCTTATTGGAAGACCTCATTTCGTAACCTTGCCCATGCTCAGTAGTACATACGGTACATATTTACTTTCATAGTTACATGTCTTCAAATATGACTCTTCCCGCTAATAGGTTTGGTGTGCAGCTACATATCCAGTTGTTAATGCTAAGGGCAACGTTTATGCAGGTGCTTCTGTCGAACCTTCCTCCTATATTGTTAATACTGAAATAGAGAAATCGTAAGTCCATTGTTGGGGTTTATATCTACTCTTGACATAGACGTACTGTATTGAAATAACACTAATATTTTTTGTTTATTAGTAATATGACTTTGCTTGATGTATTGAGTGCTTTAGGAGGAATGTATTCTTTAATTATGGCGTTCTATGGACGATTGTATGGTGAGTACGTCTACATTGTTTATTTCAGAACTATATTCGCAATGGGATAATAACAGGCTCTTAGGTGATAGATCCATTGAACCATGGGGCTGGGTCCAGGGACTATTATTGCTAAGCAAAAACAAATCTGTTATCAATAAATTGGAGAATGTGAATAAGAGTGATACGGAAGGGACGACGAACGAGACGAATGGGACGAATGAGACAAATGAGGCGGAAGCGACGGAAGAGACGGATGAGACGAATGAGACGGAAGAGACGGATGAGACGAATGAAACGAATGAAACGGATGAAACGGATGAGACGGATGAGACGGATGAGACGAATGAGACGAATGAGGTGGGGGGGACGGATGGGAGGGAAGAAGAGACGGATAAGAAAAATGAGAAAGGTGTTAATCTTGCTGAATGGGCTAATGATAGAGACACTGACACAGTAACAGTTATCAAGCGTGGTACAGAAAGTGCAGGGGAAAGCACAGTCACTGTAATTGTAGATATGAATCTAATTGAAAAACTCAACAGAATTGATATCTTGGAAAAAAGACAAAAGTCATTGGAGGCCTTTTTGCAGGATTATGTTGTTGATATAAAGTTATATAAAAAGTTTAAAAAGAAGAACAAGTTAACACTTAAGGATATTCTGTAGTAAAAGAAGCTTTTATTTGGAAGTAGGTTTTGGAATGTACAAATTTATGCTGCAGGGTTATTGTCATGTCTGGGTTTATTAGTTAATTGATTGATAGAATTTAAATTGGACTTCATTACTTAGTAAAGATTGTAGTAAACAGAAATCTATTGAGCAATAGAGGGTAGTTAATTAAACCGTAATAAATCATAAGAAACTAACACCTTGAACTTGAAAAGTTAGCCGCCCGTTTTCACTGTTCTAATAACAAAAAAGAAGGCTTTTCTGTATTAAAATATTTGAATTAATAAATTACCTGTTTATTCAAATAAAGCACCAATGTATCACATCAAATTTTAACGTGTATATATGTTGTACCCTCAGTTTGGGACAATGCTATAAAACCCTATTAATACGCCAACAATATCAATTTTTCAATTGGATACTATACATCAACTATTTATACATTCCAAGTACAGTTCTTGTTTACTGAAGAGAAAAGGAATTTTTCAGCGAAAAAGACATTCTGAACTAAAATGAATTATACAAATGGTTATACAAATGCAGGTCAAGTAACATTAACTGATGTGCATAATTATTGGCTATAATAATAATCGCAGTAATCTTCTTTGCCAAAATCCATTCTTTAGTGTCTTTGGCTGTATGGATTCTTGTTGAAACAAATAAACTTTTCCATTATGTTAGTAGCAATGAAAGGCAATAACTGTTTTCCAAGTATTTATATATTAATATAGGCTAATCTGTCTAATTTGCCTTCTTATTCTACTTTTAGCAACAGACCCAACCCCTTATCTGGAAGCAACCCCATACCATTAATCCACTCACTTATTATTATCACTGTGCTTCACTACAGTGCCTACTCAAAAGTCTCCGACCACTCCTTAAATTTTTCGTCGATCGCGCATAACACTACAGTCAACCATCCAAACACAATGAAATCTCAGTCATTATTTGCACAGCTTCTAATCTACATTTCTGCAAAATTTCGTTGCACATTTATATGTACGATTTTGAGTTCGCTTATGCCTGAAATTATCTAACCGAAAACAAAACAATTAATCGTTACGATAAAAATATTCAAAATTTAATAACTGCCCAACCGTTTGCGCTAGAAACAAGATCTCAATTGAGTTTTGT